TTTTGCCATCGTCACACCAAGCCATTAAGCTCTAAGGTAGCTGGCATGCCGACGGATAAATGAGCTCGACGAATTATGTCACTAATGCTTGAAAACTTCATGATGAGGCGAGCAAAACATATTTCCAATTCGGGGACAAATTGCAACACGGAATTGGGGTATCGAACAAAGTACCTAGGTTGAACGAAGGCAAAGCAAGAAACCATAACCTCAACTCCCATTCACCAACAACCAAAAAGGAAGGTCGCTCCGTAGTAAAACAAGAGGAGTTCAGAAGGTTTTCGCGGCTCGTCCCATTGTCTCTGGGAGAATAGTTTGACGGGAGAGTCAATATTCGGGCAAGCCACTTTCCAGGCATTTATAGTTAAACATGGTAACTAAATCAAAATTAACCAGTCTTGAAATAAGAATTTTCCTGGTTTATTTTTCAGTGGACGGAAAATATGAAGGCCGGTAAGCTCACACTGGAAATTTTGGGAACGCGGAGACAATCCATATACGGCATGCAAGATGATATGTCCAAGCTCGGTCATCGAGGCCCTTATTAAAAGTTAAAGAAAGTGTGCGTCTAATAATATTGTCTATTTTTCCAAAAGAAAGGGTGATGACCAGAGGTGGGTTGCACGACTATAAATAGTACGTAAAGAGACTAAAACAACAAAACCGCATAAACACGTAAATAGTGTGGGTCGAATGCTTTTTAATTTGATATAGCCTTTCTCAAACGTCAGAAAAATATTGAATTTTTTCATCAATAAAGCTTGGAAAAGATTTCTCGAAGACGGGCGCACCTAGAGGGCGAAAAGAAAAACATTTATGACGACCGAGATGTTTGGTACAACATCGTGGAATCAGTATTACCTAACAAAAAGAAAACAGATTGGGACACTATAAAGGAATCAATTTAATAGGAACTCATGAGATGGTCAAGCTGAAATTCATGAGCTCTAAGGCTTAAATTGCCTTTTAAGAAATGATATGAAACGTTAACGTTATGTTGTTTATTGATGGAGTATGAATGTTTGACTTTTAGTGGAGTTTTTAGGACGTTGAAATACCCTACAACTGAAACAGAATGTTTACTCAATAAACGTATTTGTCTTTTCGAATATGTTGTATGTATTTCTTTATTATCTTTACTTCTTTTATGTTTATGAATGTTAAGAAATATTTCAACGAAATTAAGGTAATCAACCACGTTTGAAACACCCAATTTTAAAAGTTTGTTTTTATTTGATTTCGGCATATACTACAGTGACGAAATATAATCTTTATTAAGTATATTTTATTCTAATTATATTCCTATTCGACTAACCGTTAATCGATCAACTAACTGACTTTCAAAGTAAAATTACGGATCCTCGTCTATATGACATCCGATAAGATGGAATTTATGGGATGGGATATTCCACTGAACCATTGAGACATTAAAAAAATACGTCTACATGCAATTGAAATCATTTTGGTCCTAAAGCTATAATAAGCCAGGGCAACATATAGAGTATTTTGTTTTGGAAGCTGGAACCGAAAATATTCTGCTTAAGCCAATATTGTACGGCTAAGTTGCGGGCAAAAGCTAGTAATAAATAAAAATGTTTACTCGCTAAAAGAACGGAGGAGGTAAAAATAGACATATTATGATTCTTTATGGATCACAATCGGAGCATGGGCGGTAGTTATTTTTATCAGGCATAAAAAACGAGGAGGTTCTATAATAGTCGACTGTTCATATTTATTATTATGTCTCTTACTAATGTGAATCAAATTTTTCCAATTGTCATCTCTCACATCATCACTACATATTATAAAACAAACAAATTCCCCTGCCGTGTCTGTCTGTCTGTTCGAGATAAACTTAAGAAGTACGAGTCTGATTCTCATACAGTTTTTAACAATATGGAGAATGGTTGGGGAAAGTTTGGTGTATAATATATTTAGGTTTTGTGCAAACAGACGATATTAGTTAATGAACTAAAATCTACCAGTCTACTTTATAAGTACCAGAGATATTCTGGACATCTCAGAAGAACGGGAACTACGCGAGTTTTTATCCCGGAAATCTCACGGGAACGTGAACTATACCTTAAAATCCTAGGACCCTCTATCTTATCTTAAATCACTGAACTTATTTGAATGAAATTAAGTACAATAGAATAGTTTTATACAAAATAATAAGATCCAGCAATCAAACCATTTATGTATAGTTTTGCTAAACATCACGTTAGATTTTAAGGCCTATCATACACCTTTTATTAAATTAATAAATAAGGATAATAATATCACTGAAACCTTACAAGATGGGTACTGTATAGGTTAAACCCCTGTGAGATTGTTTATTTTTTATTGTTTAAACCACGAAAATAAATTCGTTTGACAATAAATATATAACTTAGGTACTGAATGCATTCTGATGAAATTTGTTCTAAAATTCGAAAGCTCAAATTCTGCCAGCAGTCATTATTTTACGCGGAAATAGTCGCGGGTAACTGCTAGTATATATAAGGATGATGAGTGATCATCGGTTCAAACAATTACATAAAGTAAGTTCAGACTTTTATAGAGGTAATTACAATATTTCTTTATCATCGATAAATGGGTTAACATGATGAAGTGAGATTATCCGTAACGAATTATCCTGCTGATGATGATGTTGCGATGTTAAAATGTCCTAAATTTTCGATGTCGAAGATAGTCAATAGGAGAACGTAATCCGTAACGTAGAATGATTAATATAATTCGAATAACATAAGGGCAAATAAGTTAATGAGTGTTTATGTTAGTTATTATTAAAATTGAGCTTTTCCTATGTATATCAAAAATTATATTTGATAATTTAATTATGTTATAATAAGACAGAATTCTTGTAATGCGAGTCATTTGAAGATTGTGGGTTTCAAAACGCCCATTAATTACTACGCTATTTTCGTTTAATCCCACCCTGCGATCCACTGTGTCGTCTTGTCAGTATCGTATATTTTTTGAATCGCACTAATAGAAAAATAGAACATCTAGGTACAAAGGTAAAGTACAAGATTTGATAATTGCATTGATTAGATTTTTTTTTATTTATGGTACCTAAAAGGTGTTCGGACTCAAAAATTGTTTTTTTGTGCTAAAATTTTAGACCCCAAGGTTGAGTAAACTCTTACAGAATTCGTAGTTCATAGTTATTGTCTCTAGGAAAAAAGAAATTAAATTTAACGAGTTCGTAGCTTTTATATTTCCTTAGTTACATCTCAATTGATGGATTTTCATAAATATGTATACTAATATCCACTTAACATACCTTACCTAGTACTACCTATATCACATTATCGAAATCTTAACGCTCTGCGGAAGAAGCAATCAAGTTGCCGTCTCTTCTTAAAATGTTGATAAACTAATGTCGATTGACAAGCGTACCATTGACAGGGTATTCTTGGTTGATGTCCAGCCAAGAACATATTTTTTCTCAAAACAGTGAACACGTAATAAATGTCTTTTTGATATTGTATGTGATGATAGAGTGGGATCGATAAATTTTCTTATGTAATAAAACTTCTTTCTTGTTAAATATTAAAAAACAAGAGTGTTTAATTCAAATGGTCAAACAAAACATACATTCTTCAGTAGTTTTACATCTTACTAATTATTTTATCTCGTATAGAGCCACTGGCCTGACGAAAACTTTTATTCCTTGACCAATATTTCTTTATATAGTAACAAGAAAAATGGCCTGCCAGTGGAAATCTCGCATTTATATTCAGATTCTAATTTTTTGGTACAGGAATTTTTGTCAAGTGTCACGATGCAGCAAATAAATATTGGTCGTGAATTGGAGAAATGAATCGATCTCGCTCTTATATAGATGATTCCAAAATTTTATCTCTTTCGCCCTAATAGCCGGCTGACAAACATGTATCAGCGGTTAATAGGTGCGCTCACGCAGCTGTTGCGAACAAATCAGCTCGGATATAGCTGACACTGTCAAAAAGCTAACGCTTAGGCGCAGCTTACAGGCGACTAGCGATTAAAAGTTTTATATATTCGGTATTCATAATCGAATATTTAGGTAACTTACATTATTCAAATGTACTGTAAAACAGAATTTTGTTTATTTAAAATATTTTTCAAATGACGGATACAATGATATTGTATTAATTTATAAGAATATCTTTTACCAGCGAGGTTAGATTGCCGAAGAATCAAGAATACTAAACAGTTGTTGTAAATCGTTCTGAAGTAGGGGTACTTTATACTACACTCAATAAATTATTATTATTGATTTACGTTTTAATGTTACGCTCTCCGCTTGTGTTTCGTACTGAGACGTAACAAGCAAAGACATTACGAGGAGGGTCGACTCGTTCATTCAAGATCGGAGAAAGCATCCTACGTATTTAAAAATAGACATTGTAGAATATTTATTGGCCATCTCTTCGGGATTCGATTTAATATTAAGATTAGAAAAATATAGTACGCACGTGTTTACACGATGGATGCTAATTTGTTCGTGGTTATTAATATTTTTTATTGATATTGAAGAATGCACGGATTTATTTGTAATATTATTATCAATATCGGCCCTGTCTAGATAATAATATTATTATTATAAATTTATACAGCCGTGGTATAGTACATGCAATAGAATCAATTATGCATGAATAAACAGTTAAAAATATGACGTTTTCATTTGTTAAAGTTGCATAAGAAAGAGTGTTTAAGGTAGGCAGGCATTTTATTTAGCTAAGATGTGCAAAAACAGAACTTTTTCATTATGAAATACAGCTTAATATTTAGCTAATACCTACTTAATATTTATTTATAATAGTATTTTTGTCGGATTTTAAATAGTTTTGTATTGTTGGCTATTAGCTCTACTAGTTTATTAGGAGACCAAAAAATACTTAGGCTATTCGCACCTTAATTCTCTTTTTTGTTGTTATACTCATTAGATATTTTTAGGTTTAAAATTTTGACAACATTATATTTTTCGTAATCATGTTATTATTTTTCAATAGGAGCTGTCAATACACGCTGTATCAACACATGAGCTACTGAAGCCCAAAGATGAACCCTCATATTCACTGGCTGCTTCAACAAACCTTTGCTCGGTCAGCTTACATCACACAGGTAAACAATTTTAAATTTTACTAGCAATATTTATAGATAAGACTGAATATACGAAGGGTCTATTAATTGTTTATCTTTGTAAAAGTAAGTGGTTCTTGTATTGTGTAGGGTGGGGATGTAAGCTAGAGATTGTCATTTTGAGTACTATTGCTATTTAAGTCATGAAAAAGTTTCCAATAAATGTTTTCCATCTTTTGGCTTTCTATAAGGTTTATACAGTATATACTTGTAATAGAAACTCCATCTTGGTAGGGATTCTAAAAAAGCAAACAATATTATACAAATATATAGATAATCCTACTACTATTATAAAGGCGAAAGTTTGTAAGTATGGATGTATGGATGTTTGTTACTCTTTCACGTAAAAACTACTGAATGGATTTGAATGAAACTTTACCACAATATAGCTTATACATCAGAATAACACATAGGCTCTAGCTTTTACATCAGAATAACACATAGGCTACAATTTTTTGAGGTTTCTAATGTGAGGTCGTAAAAAAACACATTTTTTGCGCTTACATTGCAAACGCTGACTGAATCCTACAAGATAGATCAAAACAATGTACTACAGTATTGTACAACTTAAAAAGGTCTACAAAAAAGTCCGTGATGGTATATGTTTATCTCTTAGGAATAACCCACAATAACCATTTTTTATCCTTTACTTTATACGAGAAAAAAGAGGATGAAAGTTTGTATGAAACTTTGTCAGTTTTTAACTGATCGGGTTGAAATTTGGCATGCAGATAGATGTTATGACGTAAGCATCCGCTGTGAAAGGATTTTGATAATTTCCACCCCCAAGGGGGTAAAATAGGGGATGAAAGTTTGTATGAGACTTTGTCAGTTTTAAACCGATCGGGTTGTAATTTGGCATGCAGATAGATGTTATGACGTAACCATCCGCTGTGATAGGATTTTGATAATTTCCACCCCCAAGGGGGTAAAATAGGGGATGAAAGTTTGTATGAGACTTTGTCAGTTTTAAACCGATCAGGTTGAAATTTGGCATGCAGATAGATGTTATAACGTAAGCATCTTCTAAGAAAGAATTTTGATCATTTTCACTCCTAAGAGAGTAAAATAGGGGGTGAAAGTTCGTATGGAACTTTGTCAATTATAAAACGATCTGGTTGAAATTCGGCGTGCCGATAGATATTTTGACGTAAACATCCTCTAAGAAAGGATTTTGATCATTTCCACTCCCCAAGGGGGTAAAATAGGGGTGAAAGTTTGTATGAAACTTTGTCAGTTTTACACCGATAGGGATGAAATTCGGCATGAAAGTAGATGTTATGACGTAGGCATCTCCAAGTAAGGATTTTGATCATTTCCAACTCCAATGGGATAATGTAGGGGATGAAAGTTTGTATGAGGCTTTGTCAGTTTTACACAGATCGGGTTGAAATTCGGCGTGCAGGTAGATATTATGACGTACACGTCCCTTTAGAAAGGTTTTTGAACATTTCCACCCCAAAGTGGGTAATATAGAGGGTGAAAGTTTGTGTGATACTTTGCCAGTTTTAAACCGATCGGGCTGAGACTTTGCATGCATAAAGTTACTATGACATAGGTATCTCCTTAGAAAGGATTTTGATGAATTCCACCCCTAAGGGGATAAAATAGGGAATGATAGTTGGTGTGAAAATGGGAATGAAAATTGAATCTAGAATCATTGAATCTTTTTGAATTACATACGGTAAAACGATGATTTGGGACCTGAGTAACGTATGATAGTTTTTATCTCAGAAGTCCCTCGGGAACGGGAACTATGCGTCAATGCTCCAGGACTCTCTATCTTTTAACCACTGAACTTATTTCATAGAGATTCTGTACAACAGTCGAAGTTTTTATTACTCAAAACTTACGTGATCGGGCCGGGACTGGTAAGAACCCTGCGGGATTTTTAATTTATTGAAAATAAATGTAAATCTTAATTGGGCACTGAATTGATTATGATGAATTCTGTCAGAAGGCATTAATCTACGCGGACGAAGTCGCGGGCAACAGCTAGTAATAAATAATATTAGCTCATTAAACGTTAAAACCATTTTTAAGGATTTTAACACTTATTCTGTTGTTCTGTTAGTAGCTTTATAACAGTTGCAATTAAAAAGCTACTAACGGTTAGAAGTTTCAATATACAAAACCACCAATTCTAATTCAACTGCTGCAATTTAAAAGAAGATGAAGAATTTTTGGCCGAACCAGTAAAATATAGTTTTTATTTTTATTTATTTTTTATTTTATTTATTTATAGTTATTGGCAAAACGTCGGCCCATCAAAATACAAAAGTATCATTTATAGAAAATAAATTTATGACCAAACTGTAAGACTGGACTATGCTGAAAAAAAAATATTACGCTAAGTTTGCAAGTTAAAATAAATAATGACATTATACACTTACTTATTAGGTACACGATTTCCTTGATTGAGCATAAGAAATGATTTTCAAAGAAAATTTTAGGTAAAGACTGCACGGTTGGCGCGGTGGCTGGGCAACTGGCTGCCGCGCAACGTGTCGCGGGTTCGATTCCCGCACGGAATAACTCTTTGTGTGATCCACAGATTGTTGTTCCGGGTCTGGGTGTCTTGTGTATGTGAACTTGTATGTTTGTAAACGCACCCACGACACAGGAGAAAATCCTAGTGTGGGGCAAAGTTTTTTTCAAAAAAAAAAAAAAAATGCTCCAGTTCAGTGTTGCTATATTGGCGTATGTAATTCTGCGTAGTTCTATGTAAATCATAAAGAACAGGGTAAGTGTTGGTAAACTGGCACACAAAGAGAATAAACAAGAATGTGATTGTAATTTGAACTAACGAACAAAAATAATTTAATTGTTTTAATGATTTATTCATCAAATTTTTTGTTCTAATTGTTCCACAATTCAATGATAATGATTTTTTTGTCAAATAATAATTAGCAGTAGTCATTGACGTTGAAAGGGATCGAAATTTGATAAGTACCTATCTATATGCGTTGCCTTCAGGGCAGCGCAACCGATCTCTCCCTGCGACTATGAACGAATCGCGTATCACATTATAACTGCTACAATTAATAACGGAGAAGTATAAAAAGTTTTGTTAATTAGTAACTATCGTTTTACGAGATATTTTTTACAATAGTTCGTTGAATATGATGAAGGCAGAATGTACTACCGTTATTATTATTTACATACCCTCCATAAATTGTCACTAAGTATTACAACGGAATACGATATAGTTTTTACATAGCATAATGCCCTTATTGTTACTGCAACGAGTTTAGCGTTTCAACTTACCGACCGTGGCTTAACGTCATACCACTTCAAACGTTTGTTGTGTTGGTACGAACTTAGGAATATTTAATTTACGACCCAGCCAGTATTGTTCATTCAGAACGGTCTCGGGTTGATTGGCGATATTAAAAGTGTCAAGCGCCCACTGCCGGAAATTCATTGATAGATTTAATCGCCTTGCACTGAAATAACGTACAACGCAGTAGGATTTGATTTGAGGAGTAAATTGCTAAGTCATTAATGCCGTCCGGTCGGCGCGGTTCTCCGCACTAAAAACTGTGCTATTTTCAGGGAGCTAACAGGGATCCTTGAAATTAAAGTCGACTTGCGTCACTATGCTAGTACTTGCAGGCTTGTACTGTTGTACCACAAAGCATAATATATATGTATGAAGAGATAGAGAGCCATCTTGACGTTTAAATGTATCTCTCAGAACAATTATGCTATCTAAAAAAAACTCTGAAATACTGTTATTTGACGCAATTTAAATTAGAATTATCTATAAAAATGCTACCATAGCTTTAATTTTTATTTATTTTCTGTACCTTTAGGTACAGAATAGTACAAAACATTTAATTGTAAAGCTCCAAAACTTCTCACAAATCTGTGAAAAACTCATCTATTAATTAAAATGTCTACACAACATTGTGTTGTCATATTTTCTTAACAGTATTTTCCAAAAGGCTTGGATTCTATTTTATATTTAAATATATTATTTCTATTTTCTTTAATTTTTAAATGATACAATGCTTCAAGCTGTTTAAAGATTTTTAGCCCGTTACCATAAATGGGTCTTTTTTTTTTAAGGGGTATAAACCACCTCGTTCCTTCTCCTGCACGTCGAGCCGGAGCCCCGGTTACCCGTTAGGTTCTCCGCGACACGATAAATGGGTCTTGGTCTTGATCGGCGATTTGACATCGCTTGGTAAATTCGGCTTTCAGCCGATCACTCCCGAAATTGCGTAATTTTTTGAAACGTGCCATAATTTTTATTGTTACATCATTTTTGTGGGTTTTGCAACTTCATTTAAATAGTGAAAGTGATAGTGTTTCTCCATCCATGGGAGAACGGCACATTCACCCTGTGATTGTATTTACTACAATAAGTAATAAAGTAATATCGATATGAGTGAGCATACAGCATAACATCATATAACATAACATGCCTTTTTATCCCCGAAGGGGTAGGCAGAGGTGCACATTAAACCACTGTATAATGTAACACCCACTTTTCACTATTTTTTTATTTATTTATTAAGAGTTACCAACATTTGATTACACAACTACAGTAAGCATAATACAAGCAAGCAAAGGGGAATGAGCCTATGTGTATCAAACAATTACAGGTAACCACAACATTTACTGGTGCAAATATGTGTATATAAAAAAAAGTTCTTAATTACTATCCTTAAATCTAGTTCTAACACAATATCAAACCATTCATGTTATGAGTCCCATGTAATAGGGGGTGAGCCTATTGCCATATACCGGGCACAATTCCAGACTTCATGATCAGAATGAGCATACAGATAGAGAATTATAATATATTTATTTATTATCTCCTATTAAAATAGGAGGAACTGAATCTACCTTTAGTGGAATTTGGCGAAAATGATTAAATGAGGTAAAACATGGCTAACATAGGAGAAATTGAATCCATTAAGTACATTCTGGCAAAAATAAGTAACTTGCATAATTGGTTATGAAAATAATCGAGG